ACAGACCACACCATCTAAGTTCCCCAGTACCATTCCCTGTTGAAATTATGCAGACTGAACACTCGGTTACCTGCCCACCACCCTCCAGGCATCAGGATCCCCTATTTAGCTTCCTGTAATGTCCCCACAGCCGCCTTCACTGCTTGGAACACAGCCCGGTCCATCTAGGAACAAGAAAAATGACACAGAATTCAATCCCGTTCCAGCCCTGACTCTCACTCCCTACCCTTCTCAAGAACACCTTTATCCAGCACAGACAGGCCAGCAGCCTGCTCTGCTCAGACAGATCTGTCCTGCCTACAGATGTAGGCTGTGCCCCAAGGAAACTAAGGCAGCAGCACACTCAGGCTTCAAGCCAGTGCCACACTCACCTGGGCATAAAGCATACGGTGGTCAGGGGGCAGGCTGGCTCCCTGGTGGCAGAGCTGAGCAGAGAGGGCAGAGGTCTCAGGAGACAGAAAGTGCTGAGTGACGCTGATTGTGCTCACCAGGCCTTGCACCTGTGCCATGGGGGTGACAGGTGGGGGCACAAGGGCAAGAGGGTAAATTGAGGTTCAAACCATACTCCCCTTCCATCCCTCTGATCAGTAAGTCTACTTCCTTATCCAACTTTCAGAAAGCAGTAACTCTAATTACAGAACCAGACATCCCAATGGCCAGAACAAGACCTGAGAGATGCTGGAGTACTGAGTGAGCTGGCCAAGACTAGATCAGATCTCTGGAGCGAGTCCCACATAGCTTTGAAGATTTCAAGACCCTCAGATTTGCTATCTGCATGACTTCTTGCCCTGCCTAGCTTGCTATCAGGTAGAGAATGCTTTGTGATCATGACTCTGATATGGTGTCCTTGCTTCTCCTGCTAATCTGATCTTCTGTTAGGCCCCACCCACCAGGAAAGCACCTGATGGGGTGCCCCAGCAGGCACTAGCACCGCTTCTCCAGGGGCCTGCAGGAGGGTCCAGCAGCTCACACCCCACTCCTCCCTTAGCCGACGTCGCAACCCTGCATCCAAGTAGCAGCTGCCTGGGGCACCAGGCTCCAAGGTTCCTGCTCCAGCTGGGCACACCTTCAAGAGGAGAAAGGGAGTTGAATGAATGTTCAGGGGGATGAAGGCAGGGATTCAGAGAGGAAGGGGTGTGGTCTCTTTGGAAGATCAGGTGTAATAGGGTGCCGAAGCTGTCTTGAAGGGGAGGCAAAAGGAAGAGGTAGGAAAGTGGGGGGGGGGGGAGTGATAAGGGACAGGGTAGGTCCAGCATGGACTGGAAAGAGCTTAAAGTAAAGGATGCTCAAGCTGGGGGTTGGGGGAGGGATCTAAATCCCTGCCTTTCCTGGGATGTGCTTTTCATAGCTTCTGTGACCCTGGCCTGACCCGTTGTTCTCTCCGTGTCCCTTTCTCCAAAACCCAGGAAGATGTCCTGCACAAGCCCCATTCAGAACTGTCTTCACAAGAAGTTCTTAAGTTTTTGTAAACAGCCTGCATTGTAATCTAAACTGGGGAGAAACTAGTAGCTTCTCCCCTGGGGGGCCGTAGGGGGGGTGATCCTGGATCCAGGAAAAGCAGGGCCACACAGAAGTTCTGACTCGAAGTGGGTAGACAGGCTGAGGCCTCTGCAGCAGATCTAGTTATGGAGACTGTCACCAGCCCAGGCAGAGTCAGAGCTCTGTGACAGGCTGCCCAGGGAACACCTGCAGAAGTGAATGCCAACACAAGGCTCCAACTGGCTACCAGCTAAACCCATTCCCTTCAGCTAAGACCTCAGCCATTGTCCCCGGATTGAGAGGGTGCTGGCAGGGGTTGGGTGGGTTGAGAGGCATGTGAACCACATCCCCAAGAGGAGTCTCAGGAGGATGCCAAGGTTCCTTAGTTCCAAAGATTCAAGTCTATCCTGGGGCTACAGCAGTAACAGGCCACCCAGCGAGAAAGTGCCCCCTCAGACCTCCCCATGAGTCACCCCACTGGGTCATATGAGACTGCCAACAGCCAACCACACCCAGAGCAGACAAGGCCATCTGTTGATGATGGTGCTCTTGTATGCTCCCCTTTGCATGACACAGCATCTGGGTGTGCATCTGCAGATGTGTGTGTGTATGTGTGTGTGTGTGCAGTGCATGGTGGACAATGTCATCTGGACGCTTGCATAAGTATCTTAGCAGGGGTGACAGTCTTCTCTCTAGGACAACTGGGACTCAGCTGGACTTTGAAATCACCAGGCCCACCTTTCCATTTACTACTACGACGGTGACTACGACGACTACTACTATTAGGGTATTTTGGGGTGGACAAGGTTTCTCTGTGTAGCCCTGGCTGTCCTGAAACTCACTCTGTAGACGAGCCTGGCCTTGAATTCATAGAGATCTCCCTGCCTCTGCCTCCCAAGTGCTGGGATTAAAGGCGTGCACCACCACCACCCAGTTTAGTATTATCTCTTTTTTTTAGTGGTGGTATTCAGGGGAAGTTTCAGACAAGAATCATATGTAGCCCAGGCTTGCCTCAAACTAACCTTGTAGGCTGAGGATGATCTGAACTTCTGATCCTCCAGTTTCTCCTCTCAAGTGCTGGGAGTTATAGGTATATGCCACCATGCCTGGCTCATTTATTTCTGAGACAGGATCTCATTACATAGCTCGGGCTGGCTTTACACTTGTGATCCTTCTGTCTCAGTACTACTACACCCTGTCTGCTATAACCTTTATTAACCCTGGCCTCCCATCTCCCCTGTCCTTCTGGAGTTTTCTGCCTTCTTTTCTCCCTATATCTACCACTAGGTACCTATCCTGGTAGGTATGTGCCCCCACCTTCCTCCCTCAGCCCTCTTCATGGCTAGTGCTTTCCTTAGAGGTCTCTCCTCATGGTATGAACTATAAAAAAGAGAGCAGCTGTTTCTTTTAGCCCTGGAGTCCAGGAAGAGGAGACTTCCTGTTCCCAGGAGGAGCCTAGAGTTGTCATGAATGTAAGCTCAGATCCCAGCGTTACCACTGAGCCTCAGTTTTCTCATCCATACAAGTACAGTGAAAGTAACTGCCCCCGCCCCTGCCAGCTCAGAAGTGAGGAAAAGAAGGGTGCTCATTAACTGAGACAATTCACCAAGACCCTTAACACTATGCTCACTTTACAGTTATTGCCTCACCTCCTCACTAGATTCCGACTCCCCTGCTTCTCTGAGCCCCACCAGAGAATCAGACATCTAACCCGTTCCCTCCGCACCTGTACCTGAACCTAGCTGATTCACTTCAGGACTAGGGTAAGCAGCAAGATCTCAGGAGACAGGAACACACACAGAGATGGGCAGGGACAAGGAATAGACTCTGGGCTCCCTCCCTCCTCACCATCTGGAGAAAGCGACGGATGCGCTGGGCATCCTGGGCCCGGAATACATGCCACACAGTGCTGGTCTGGCTACCTGGAGACCAGAGCCCCTCCCCATCCAGGCCTGAGAGGAAATCTGCAGAAGAAAAATGGCTCAGGTGAGCCCAGGGTAGGCAGAGGCAGGTATCATCCACAGCTTGACTTGCTGGGGTCTCCAGCCAAGGACTAACCTTTCTGTGCTCGGTACCAGGGAGGCAGCTGTGCCTCCGCATGCACCAGGATACTGATTAGGTCAGACACCTCCACACATAGGTTCTTGGTCCCCAGGTGTCCACGGTGTGAGTTCACACCTGTGTGGAGGTAGAGCAAGAACATTAGGAAATTAAATAAGGAATGTATTCTCAGCCCCCACACTAGGCACAGATGCGACGTTGCCTTAAGATGGTAGGTAAGGTAGAGGTATGGGGTGGACAGGAGCAGAAGGGCACTCACCATAGGCCGCCCAGAGCTGGGGCTCCAGTGGGTGCAGTGTGAGGCCCAGGGGGAGGTAGGACGCTAGGTTGAGTTTCCCTTGGTGGGCACAGTACTCTGGGAGTGGAAGGCTGGAGGCAAGGTTCTCCACCCTGGGGATAGGGGTTGGCAGGGGGAATCATTCATAGCAAGTCCAACTCAGACCCCTGAGTTCAGAGCTTCCCACTGCCGGGGTACCATCCAGTGGGCAAAAATCCATCCTCCAGGAATTCCCATCACTCCCCCTAAGACAGACCCTCCATCCCCTGCTCTAGCTAGGCTTCCATTCCTAGCCCCATTAGAGGGCCTGGTTATTAAGGGGGAGGCCTGGGGAGGAGAGGACTGTTGGTGACTGAGAGAAAGGGCTGGTCTTTGGCACTGTACATACCTGCTAGCGTCCTTATCCCCCAGGGTTCGATGTAGCAGGAGGACAGAGCCCTCATCTAACTTTGGACGTGCTAAGGGAAAAGACAGATGTCACTGACCCAAGGTAGAGTCTCCTGGCCCAGAGACTCTTGTTCCCGTGGCACCCATACCTAAATTCAGTTTCTACACTGAACCCTCTGCCTCCAGAGCTATTGTAGGGGCCCCTTGACACATGAAGCCCCAGGGTTAGGCTCCCAGCTCCCTCTATCCTATGCCAGGAATACTTACTCTCAGGATGAGAAAATCCCTCCCAGAATGCTGTACTGTCCAGGCTTGTGGGTTGCGGAGGCCCAAGGGCAGTCAGCATCTTCACCTGCCCACCAAGTGTCCCAAGGGCTTCCATTCCCCACAGGCTAAGTCTCAATGTCTTCTGGATGCCTGACACTAACACAGGCTGCAGGGAAGAAAGAAAAAAGGAAAAGAAAAGAATTGTTGGGGAGTCCATAGCAGCCAGGCTGGGGCATGTTGTGACATCTCCAGAACCTGTGGGGGAGGGGTTGAGAAGAGTAGCCTTTGAGCATCAGGGACACTCTGAGCACCAGGACACTCTGAGCCTGGGTACCAGGATCCTGTGAAGCAGGCGAAGCCATAGCATTGGGAAGGGAGAGGCAGGCCAGCTTACCTGGCCCTGGCGCCAGTGTTCCTGGAAGAGGTGAAAGCCATGCTTAGGCCTGGGCTCCTGCAGCCACAGCAAAGCTCCAGGAGGAGACAGGCGGGTTCGCACCGGTGACAGTGGCAGGCTCAGGCCCTTGCGTAACCCTGACCCTGCTCGAAGGCCTGGCCCCAGGGCTTTCTCTTGGATCTTCCGTTCTACTACCTGCGCAATAATGCTGTCCAGGATGTTGGTAATGCGGTCATCCTGTGGGGAGGCAGGGGCGGAGGGGCAAGAAGGCTCAGGACCAATTCGGCTGATTAAGGATTGCCACCCAGCCTCTGGTCCTCAGGCTCTTGGCCCTCCCTCTGAGCCCTTGCTCACACTGGGCAGAGCTGGGGTGACCGGGGCAAAGGCCATGTGAATCCGCTCATGCCCCAGGCAGAGTTTGACAGCAGTAGAGGCTAGCAGCTCACAGAGAGAGGGACAAGGAAGGGGTGACCGGCCAGCTCGGTCCTCGGCTGGGCTCTCAGTGGAGTCTGGAGTCTCTGTTGAAGAAGAAGATAGTGAGTGACTGACTTTCTGCTTGGTCTTTAGTCTTTTACTTCAATAGCACCTCGACTTCACTGTGGTCTCATCCCTGCCTTCCTAAAGGAAGTTACAGAGCCTCTAAGAATAGTGGCTCCAAATGGGAGTCTTGGACTGGGAGACAGCTCAGCAGGTAAGCACACAGAATTTCCGTGTAAGCATGAGAATCTAAGTTCAAATCCCCAACACTCACAAAACAAACAAACAACAAACAAAACGTTGTTATGCCTGCCACCTCAGCTCTTGGGTTGGGGAAGGGGTGATATGGAGCTGGGAACATTGCTGGCTGAGGTTTGCTGGCCACCAATATAGCTTTGGGTTCAGAGAGACCCTGTCTCAGAGGAGTAAGGTAGAAATGAATGAATGCATCAGTAAACAACAGGAGAATCTCGATAGAGGAGCCTTGTCTTGAGGTGACAAGGACACTTGAAGGACACTTGTCTTGAGGTGAGGGATGGCCATTCTTGTTCTGTGTGTTGCAGGGGAGGGGAGTTGATTGCCAAAGCAATACCAAGTTTCTCCTGGAGACTTTCATTCCCCACTGACCCCCTGGTCTCCCAGGCCAAGGGGTATGGGGAGCCAGTCACTTACCTTCTTTGATGTCCTTGGTCCGATTGGAATCTCCATTGCAGGAAGGTTGTGGAGCTGGGGGAGTTTTCTCTGTTGGTTCCTTCTGTTAAACCCATCCACCACCACCCCCAAAATCCAAGCAGAGGTTTTAACAATGGCAGACACAGCTGAAGTCAATGTTCAAGAGTTAACAATGTGTTCCTTTCTTAATTTTTATTTTATGTGCATTGGAGTTTTGCCTGCATGTACGTATGTATGTATGTATGTATGTATGTATGTGTGTATGTGTTAGGGTGTCAGAACTCCTGGAACTGGAGCTACAGACAGTTGTGAGCTGCCATGTCGGTGCTGGGAATTGAACCCAGGTCCTCTGGAAGAGCAGCCAGTGCTCTTAACCACTGAGCCATCTCCCCAGCCCTAATAATGTGTTCTTATGAGTCCCAAAGTTGTTTGCAAGAGAGTGAAATGTTTGAAAAACAGAGGGGGCGGGGAAGGAGAGGAATAGAGGAAAAATAACACTGCTCATGAAATTCTCCGGAGGGCATGCTCTAACCAGTGTGTTAAAACAGGCCTAAATAACAATAAATAATAAAATACGGAGATAAATAATTGGAGGAAGTAGAAATGTTAAGGGCGACATAAAGAGCTCACTATTGTTGTCTTACTTATACTTGTCTACAAGTTGTTGTCTTACTTATACTTGTCTGAATTTTACACACGGATGTGTGGCAGTGTTTGGTATATAATTATGTAAGTATATTTATAAATATAAAAGTATATAAAATGTACTTTTCAGCCAGGTCTAGTGGCCTACATCTGTGGCCCTTGTAATCTGGAGGCCAAGGCAGAGGGACTACAATTTTCAGTTAACCTGGGCTACACAGCAAGACCTTATCTTTAAACAGACAAACTCTACAGGACAATAAAATGTACCTTTTGTTTTTCTGCGCTAAGGTGTTGTGGCTTACATCTGTGGTCCTTGCACTCCGGAGGCCAAAGCAGACAGAATGCACCCCAGGAAAGCACTCTGGCACGAAACGACATCCCAACTCTTGCTTTTTATGAGACAATCTCCTATGTTGACTAGGCTGGTCTCGAGCTCCCATTTCTCCTGCCACTACCCCTCAAGACTTGTGCCATCATACCCAGCTCATGAAACACTCTTAACGGGGTCAGCAAGATGGTTTGGCAGACAAGAGCAGCTGCAGGCCTGAGAACTTGAGTTCAATCCCTGGAACCCTCACACTGGGAAAGGAAATAACCAACCCTCACAATTTGTCATGTGACCTCCACATGTGGGCCTTGGCATGTGCTATGCTCCTCCCCCCATAAAATACACAATTAATAAATAAATGTTAAAAATTTAAATACCCACAATTAATGCTTTGTTTGTTTGTTTTTGTTTTTTGAGACAGGGTTTCCCTGTGTAGTCCTGGCTGTCCTGGAACTCACTCTGTAGACCAGGCTGGCCTCGAACTCAGAAATCTGTCTGCCTCTGCTTCCCAAGTACTGGGACTAAAGGCGTGCGCCACCACTGCCCAGCCCACAAAGTTCATTAAAAAAAAAAAAAAAAAGTTTTTTCACAGTGCATGTTAGGTGCCTGCTAGGTGCCCGAGCTATGGAGAAAGCTGACATCAAACAGAAAGTACCCATGGCTGGGGTAGCAACAGAAAGGTAAAGTGACAAGGGCTGACCTAAAAGACTAAGGCAGGACTCTAGGAAGCAGGGAGAGAGGACTTGTGGTAGGGAATGGAGGGAAAAGGCACATGCTAGCGTCAAGGTCAGGATGCTACTTCCTGGGAAGGCGGGGAATGGCTTATTCCACTAGCTAGGCATGGTGGCCTACAGAGAAAGGCCAGCTCCTCCTCATAAAGGTCAGTCACCCACATGTACACTGTTCAATACAGGCACCCACTGACTGATGCTTGTCACTCAGACCATGCCCTGATGCTTACCTGCTGACCCCCATCCCCAGGGGCCCACACACGGGCATCAACTTGGCAGAAACAGTGTCCCCGAATGTCAAACTTGGCCCAGACTTGGTGCATCACCGTGCTCAGTTCTGCCAGCGCTGGGTGTGTGAGAAGAGGGATGGAGATGGAGCAGCCTGGCCTCACCAACCAGACGGTCATGTCACCAGGGTCAGGAACAACAAGACAGTTTGACTGTCTCCCTCGGAATCCACCCACTGCATGCCCCACCCCTTCACAATGGCTCACCCTGGCTGGAAACAAACTGGGTCAGAGTCAGGGAACAGGCAGCATGCCCAGCCTCCTGGGCACAGTCATCTGTGTGCTGTTCCTGAGAGCCTGTGGGGAAGGAAGAGAGGAGCTGCAGGTCCAGAAACCAAGGTAACCACAGGTTAAGGTCAAGGAAGAAGGCCAAGCACATGGTATTTAAATCAGGAGCCCAGCAGGCCACAAAACAAGCGCTTGCTGGGAAGCCTGTGTATATATAACAACGTAGAAGTCTTGGTTTTGGAATGCAGAGGTTTTCATATGCTGCACTACTTTGCACGATCCTCAAGTGGAAGACAGTGAGACAGCTTAGCAGGTAGAGGAGTTTGCCACCAAGCCTAAGGTTCCTGACCCTGCTGACATGGCCGTCTGGCTGGTGAAGCCAGGCTGCTCCTTCTCCATCCCTCTTCTTACATACCCACCCTGGGACCTGAGTCCCAGGATTCACATAGTGGAAGGAGACAACTGACTCCCAAATGATGTCTTCTGACCATCATACATGCTTGCTGTGCTGAGTGTGTGCATGCCTGTGTGCATGCCACACACATACAACCACACACAAATAAATAAATAAATAAATAAATCAGTCAATAAATAATCAATCAATATTTTTTTCACTGAAGATTCCAGGGTGGCCATATAAAAATGTATCTGATGCTAGAACTCTTTTTAGCCATGTTTAAGTTGAGCCAGGAAAGTGGAAGCTGAAAACCTTAGAAAGGATGGGACTGAATCAGAGAACCTGAGTCTAAAATCTTGACTATAACATAGACTTGTTTTGGGACCTTGGACAGGTCATTAATCATCTGAGTTATCCTTATCTGGACAATGGATAGAATCCCACCCATTTCACAATGTTAATCCGAAAGCTGTTCAAACTGACTTCTGTGTGCGTGCACCCCAGTGCATCCATGCATGCACGTGCATGTGTGTACGTGTTCACCTTATCTTTTGAGGCTCGATCTCTTACTGAACCTGGAGTTCATTAATTCCACCAGGCTGGCTGGTCAGTGAGCTCCAGGAACCTGCCTGTCTCTGATCCCCAAGTAGGCCACCATGCCCAGCTTTAAACATGGGTGCCAGGGATCTGAACTGAGGTCCTCCTGTTTGTTTGGCCATCACTTTACTGACCAAATTCACATCTCCAGTGCTCAGGTGACTTCTTTAAAAAATGGGTAAGAAGGGATGAAGAGTTGGCTCGGAGGTTAAGAGCATCAGCTGAGGATCCGGGTATAGTTCCTAGCACTCACACGGCCGTTCACAGCTGTCTATAACTCTGGTTCCAGGGGCTCTGACCCCACCTCTTCTGACTTCCGCAAGCAGCAGGCACACGTGTGACACACACACACACACACACACACACACACACACATACACACACACAGACAAAACACTCATATATATAAAATTAAAGGAATCTAAAAAGGCAAATCTGTTTTTCTCACCTGTTTTCTCCCTGTTCTTCCCAGCACCGGCTATGCGACCACAGGCTACACACAGCCGGTGGCTACAGCGGGAACATCTCCAGTGGGTGTTGAAGAGTCCGTGGTGGCAACGGCTGCAGCAGTGTGGAATGCCTGGGCTGTCCTCTGTCATGGCTGGCCCCTGGCCTGTTGACCACAGAACAGGGTCAGAAGGCTCAAGCACACAGCCCCCTTGGGGAGGTCACATATAGCAGAGAGCTCAACCTGTGGGTTACAACCTCTTTGAGGGACAAATGATCCTTTCACAAGAGTTACATATTAGCTATCCTGTATATCAGATATTTACATTACAATTCATAACAGTAGCAAACTTACAGATATAAAGCAGCAACAAAAATAATTTTTTGATTGGGGGTCACTACAACATGAGGAGCTGTATTAAAGACCATTAGGAAGGTTGAGAACCACTGAGCATAGGTGAGGCAGGGAACAACTTCTACCCAGAAGCACTGGAAGAAGGAAGCTGGGCTCTTTGGCCATTCCTCATACCTTACTCAACAGCCTTGTCTGGCAGTAGCCACCCTCTTAGGAACATGCACTCCTAGGGTAGCAGTGGCCTCAGCTCCCTCGGCCAGCCCCACCCCCAGCCTTGCCCCAGGGATTTCCCAGTGTGCCTGTATTACTAATCCACACCACTTCCAGCACATTCTTCCATCCACCTCCCCAGCTCCCAAGCCCTGCTGCTACCAGAAATACATAGCAGCTACTCAGGTGGCCTTTCCTTTAAGTCCAGGAGACTTAGTAGTTTAGAAGAGGACAACTCCTGTTGTTACCCAAAGGAGTGGGGTTTTTTTGTTTTGATTTTTTTTTTTAAGAGCCAAGGTTCAGACTAAACCATGGTTGGTAGGTAGAAAGGGCCCCACTGAGCACACATCCAAGATACCCAATCAAATCCCGAGTAGGCACAAGCGACTCAGAGTTTCTCAGGAATAGGTATAGCCCTCCCAGAGCTCATTCCCATTCAGGGAGACAACCCACAGACACGCAGATGACTATGGTGCTCCTGGCTGAAAAGACCATGGGAAGATGATGGTGACGTGGCCGGGAACTTCACAAGTGGCCCCAAAGGATGAGTAAGCTCTTATCCATCAGGTAGGAAGGGATGGCCAGGGCATTCCAGACTGAAGAAATAGCTAGTGCCAAGGCCCCAGGGGGCAGACAAGCTTGATGATCCGGGAAGGGAAGGATGGCTGGTGTGTGTCAGGAATCCAGGCTGGGAGTGGCAGGACCCTACAGGAGCTGGCTCATGACTGAAAAAAACTAGGGGCTTCCCTCTCTGGAGTGGGACAGTGACACTGGAGATCTCTATGAAACGAAGAACATGTGGGACCAGGGCTGTGCTTTACAAAGTTCACCCATTGCTAGAAAGGGCTGCAGAGGGGTGGCCTGGATCTGAGGACCCCCTCAGCCTGAATCCCATCAATTTCTGATACCCATGAGCCTTACCACTCTAGAGACCTTCCTTGCTTGGAGTCACCTCACCTCCCAGGCTCTTGAGACACTTGTACTGGCTGTTTCCTCCATAAGCCCAATTGTTCTCGGAGAACTGGACTGAACCAAATGTTTAGACTTGCCAGGAGGATCCCCACCCAGGGCCAGAAACCTCAGAGCTGACCAAGAGTCCGTGTTAGGGATAGATAGGAACAAAGAAGGACAGAGCTCTCCTGAGTAGGCCCTGGAACCACAAAGCACTGGTAAACATGGTTGGGAAGGGCAAGCAGGAGCAGGCCCACAAGGGAAATCAGCTCACCATCACGCTGGGCCCAGGCAAGTGCCTCCCGCTCCTTCCGCAGCAGGCGGCAGAGTCGGTCACCCAAACCACTCAGCAGGTGCTTGGCCAGGCCCTTGTTGAGCGAAGCTTCTGTGCCAGACCCTCCTCCTTCCTCGGAAGGGACAGAGGAATCCTCCTCCTCTAAGTGCTTCTCTTCCAGGGGCATCCTGGAGATGAGATGAAGCAAAAGGGCTTGAGGAGGGAGCCCATGGGTGGGGACGGGGTGCTGCTGCCTCTGACTGTCAGACACAACACTTACCTATGTGACTTCTGGGAGTGGCCAGTCAGTACCCCTACCCCTCCAGCTGCCTGGACACAGCTTTGGCACTGAGTGACACCTGCTAAGTGATGATGGCAGGGTGTATCCTCAAGTCTGGATTCCTGGAGCCTAATTCTGCTATCTCGGGGCCCTGAGGAGAAAATACAGCTGTTTAGGGAGTCTAGTTTCTGAGGCTTATGCTAGTCAAAGCCCTGAATTAACACCCACCCTTCTCCATATGCAGCCAACTCAGCCCCTGGTCCCCAGGCTTGTGAGGACTCATTCAGAACCCGAGACAGGACCAGTCCAGTGTAAGTTTCACACACATGGCTGAGCAGTAGCTGGAGATATTCCTGGCAGGAATGGAAGCTGAGGGGCTGTTTAGCATGTTTGGCCCAAGACTTTGGGAAGTCTGAGCAATGGTTCTTGTACACACGCAGAGTCCAGCCAGTCTAGACTTTGAGTAGGTTGGCTAAAGGCTAAGTGGCTATGTGACACTATGAGATGACCCCAACGTGGACGGATGGGTAACCGGAGGGCACCGGAAAGGGAGAAGGTCAGAGTTTCAACACAGAACACAGGTGCTGTAACCCAAGACAGCAGAGGGACCAACAACTTCCCAGCCC